CTCGACAGGAAGGCGCCTCCATCAACAAGTCCCTGTCAACATTGGGCCTGGTGATCAAGGCGCTGGTGGATCGGGAAGCCCGGCGCAGCGCCGGCGGCAACCCGGCCAGTATTTTCATCCCCTACCGTGACTCGGTCCTGACATACCTGATCCGGGACAGCCTTGGCGGCAATTCCAAGACCATCATGATTGCGGCCATCTCCCCGGCCGCCGACAGCTACGAGGAAACCATGAGCACGCTCCGCTACGCCGACAGTGCCAAGCACATTGTCAACCAGGCCGTCGTCAATGAGGACGCCAATGCCCGGATCATCCGCGAGTTGCGTGAGGAAATTCGCCAGTTGAAATTGGCCCAGGGCGGACTGCCGCCCTCCTCGGCATCGGAAGACGCCGCGCAGATTGCCTCCCTGCGCGAGCGCCTCCTGGAAAAGTGCGTCCGTCATCCACAAGGACCAGGGGGGGGGGGGGGTGGACGACAGGGGGAGGCTCAATTTTCTCTGGCCCCATTTTCTTCTCCTTTTGGGGCCTCTCCCATCCTGACCGGCGTCTTTCCCGGCACACGGCGCACATGGGTCTCCACCTGCGTGCAGTGAGAGGCTCATGGCCGAGATGGCAATGACCTGGGAGGAGCGTCTGGCCGCCTCCAAGCGCAAGGAGGCCGGCCTGCTAAACCTCAAGAGTGATGGCTCGGCCCTGCGGCTGGATACAACCCTGCACCAGCCGCATTTGCTGAATTTGAGCGACGAGCCCCAAGTGGCCGACGGCTTGGTGCTCTTCATGATTCGGCCCGGGCTGACGGTCATCGGCTCGGCTCGCGGCATGGTCGGCATCTCTGAGGCGGATCTTTTGCTTGGGCTACCGGAGCATGTCACGGCGGCGCACCGGGCCACCAGTGACCCGGCAACTCCCTGCCCGGTTGTCCCGGCCGACACCCTTGTCTCTGTCGAGGGGGCATCGCCCGATGCCGAGCCCCAGGGACCCGAGGCGCGCGTCCACCTGACCCTTTCATCGGGGGATGTTCGGCCGGCACATGCCATCCTCTTTGATGGCGGTCCCGAGGGGGTGTGGCTGGCCCCGGCGTGCGCGCCCTCCAGCCTGCCGGCCGAGTCCCTGGTCCAGGTGGAGGGGGTTCCATTGCCAGCGACCGGGCCATACCGCTTGCGCCATGGTCAGCGCATTGATCTTGGCTGCCATGTCACCTTTCGATTCCAACACCCGCAGGAGGCTGAGGCCCTTCGCCTTCATCGGTATGTGCTCCACGTTACCTTTTCCGTCGGGTATCTCAAATTGCCTGGCTGTCAACTCACCGGTCTCTCGTCCCACGTCCCTATCTCCCTCTATCTTCTTCGCCTCCTTTCTCTCCCTCTCTCCCTCTCCCTTTCTCTCCCTCTCCCTTTCTCTCCCTCTCCTTGCTCCCCTTGATAACATGCCTCTGCCACAGGGCTGGTGAGGGTCCTTCGCCCTATCCTCCGGCCCAACCTGGGGAGCCCGGCTTCCGAAGGCTGTCCGGCGCCTCGGCCGACTCTCCCGGACTCCACGAGGGCTCTTTCACATCGAGCACCGACGACGGCGCTTCCCCGGTCCAGCCATCGCCTCGCATGGCGGCCGAGCCCGGTGCCGATCCCCAAATCCCGGAGTCCGTGACAGCTGTGCCGCCGAGCTCGGGTCCCGTGGCCGATTCACAGTTGTCTGCCGCCCTGCGTCAGGCCTCCCATTCTGTGGCAGCTGGCGGGTTAGGTGATCCACCGGCGGCGACCTTGGTCTCTGGTGCTGAGCCGCCCCCGGCAGTCGGGCCATCGATTGCCGCGGAACAGCAGCCGGGCTCCGTCGCTGATTCAAATCCCGTGGCGGGCCAGCCGGCGCCCTCTGGCGCCCCCGCCTCCGAGTATCCCGATATCGAGATCAGCATCCCGCGCTATCGGCTGGTGAAGGATACCTCGTCCAGCGCAGTCCCCCTGCCTGGGGCCAGTGGGTCTCACCATGTTTTTACCATCATCATCATCACCTGCGATGCCTGCTGGCGCATTGAGCGCCGGTTCAAGCAGTTCTACGAGCTGGATCGCCACTTGCGCAAGGTGTCCTGCCTGCCGGACACCATTGCCGCGCTCTTCCCCAAGAGGTACTACTTCGGCTCCACCAGCCTGAGCGTCGTCGAGGTGCGCGCACCATCTTGCCTTTCGATCATCCTGTGTCTCTGGGCCTGGAAGTTCTCACCTCCTGCCTGGCTCGGCAAATGTGACTCCGCCAACACCAGTCCCGCCGCGAGCAGCTCCAGCAGTATCTCCGAGCCGTGGTTGACTGGCTGACCAAGCGTCCGCTTTCGCCGCTGCTTCGGTCCCCTCGCGCGCGGACCCTCATCTCCGAGCTGCCCTTCCTGGCCCCGTGTGGCGATGATGACCCGGTGGTCTTCGAGAGCGGCGAGCCGGGGTTGCATTTTGCGGCTCAGCCGCGCGGCATCGTCCCTAGCATGGTGGCGGCCGAGGCGTCCGTCTCGCCAGCCTTCGGCGGCGGCAGTGTCGGCAGTGCCTTCTCCCTTGGCAGCGGTGGCGGCGGCAACGGCGGCCCGGCTCTCGGGCAAACACCACAGCGCCTGGCCACGGCCCCTCAGCCGGTCCAACGATCGGCTCTCGATTCCCGGGAAAATGCCCCCACACCGACTCCCTCTCCAGGCGGGGGCGGCGCCGGCGGCCCTGCCCCGCTGTCCCGATCGTCCTCCTCCTCCTTCCTGCTGGTGAATGGGAGGGGCACCCCCCCGCGACTATGATCACGCCGCAGGCAGGCCCGAGGCGTGGATGGTCACGTGCAATAAATACACCTCCACGCGGTTTCCCATCTTCGCGCTTTTTCCAAAGGCTGCTCGGTTTGCGCGGCGTGTATCCCCCTCCCCCCCTCCGCGCCCCCGGCGTCGGGGCTCCGACCTGTGTACGGACGTGTGGACTTACCGATGCCAGCCATCCTGAGTGTGTCCTTGTATGTTCTCGGTTGTGTCTTTTTCCTCGTGCTCGTATTCTCAATATTCCGTGCATCGGGTAGCGGGCTCGTGGCCGTCTGTCTCCCTCTCTCTCTCTCTCTCTCT